ACGTTTGGATTCTCTTTTAAGTTTCAGAGATATTAATAACTCCGGCCCCCAGGCCTCACTCGACCTTCTACGGAGGGCGCATCCTTCCATCAGCCACCACCAGAAGGACGCCCCGCACTACTACAGACGATGCACAGGCCATTAATGATGATATCGAAGATATCAAGTCTATGGAATCGGCAGCGGATAACAATCATGCTAACCGGGAGGAAATTATGATGAGAGGACCTGCCAATGAAGACATCTTAGAGTACCCCGGTCGTGATAGAAAACTTCTATCAAACTTTAAGTTGAAATCGCTTGTAAAGCGAGCCGTCAAGCGAGGACGAGACATTGCGGCTTCTCAGGAAGCACCTGGTAAAGGTAAGATATAGTCGATGATTAGTAAGAAACTGGAAAAACAACTTCTGCCAATGAAAGTATAAGTGAATCGATCTTTCCAAAATTGCTCATTGTGCCTTTTGTTTAGGTGAAGGGAGGGATAGAATTAATTATCTGTGCTATTGTAACAGTCAAAGGAATTTTGTGAGAAGAACTGAAAAGTGTAAGAAAACATGACGTGTCACCCATGAGCTCTTATTTTTAAATAGTCGTTAAGAAATTACCCGGCAACTTAAAAGTTCTTTCTACAGTGATGAAGTTACTTCGGGTCTCAGCTCAAATGGCAATCCGATTAACAGAGGAAACCACATCAGGATCGTGTTTTACTTCAGTTCTGTGCGTGTTCTGCTCGCAAAGTTGTCGCATATATCTTTGCATCAGAACGCTCAAATTTCAATTTCAAAGTCAATACAAAAGAAATGTTGTTTTCCATAAATGGCTTTTCTGTGACCCTTCTGGCTTTTCTGGAAGCTAAAGCGCAAGATCCAATCGATAGTTGATAAGAAAAAGGGGAAGATTAAATGAACAGAGGAAAAAAGCTGTTACTTAGTAACTACTTCAGCATTTACTGTGCTTTTCGCTTATCAGATCAATCCCCCCACTTCACGAAATTGCATCGACTATGAAAATAGTTTTCATAATTAATGTAATTTCGTGAAGTGGAGGGATTGATTTGACAAGCGAAATCACAGTAAATGCTGCAGAAAGTTTAAGAAACACATGTCGTGACACGTTTGGATTCTCTTTTAAGTTTCAGGGTTATCAATAACTCCGACCCCCAGGCCCCACTCGACCTTCCACGGAAGGCGCATCCTCACATCAGCCACAACCAGAGGGATGCCCCGCACTACTGCAGACGGTGCACAGGCCATTAACATAAACATCGAAGATATCAAGTCTATGGAATCGGCAGCGAATAACAATCATGCTAATCGGGAGAAAATTATGATGAGAAGAGCTGCCAATGGAGACATCTTAGAGTACCCCGGTCGTGATAGAAAACTTCCATCAAACTTTAAGTTGAAATCGCTTTTAAAGCGAGCCGTCAAGCG